TTCTCACTGTGTTAAAGTAAAATCAAAGTGCATCAAAGATCTTTACCAGGTATTCCTCAGACAAAAAACATATTTAGAATATATAAAGAATTCAAAAAAATCAGAACCCCTGAATTTAAAGACCCCAAAATGGCCTTCTGAAATAAATAAATGCTCAGATGAAGTATAAATGGCAAATAAACATATGGAAAAAGTTCATCAGCACTGGTCATTCAAAAATGCAAATTAAGCTTTTTTTTCCACAACAGGTTTGCTGGGAGAGCACAGGTGTAGTAAAAGCCACCACTAAATCAAAGCAATATGGAAAAGGAAAAGACTCACATTAACATCATTGTCATCAGATACGTGGACTCTGGCAAGTCCACCACCACTGGCCATCTGATCTACAAATGCGGTGGCATCAACAAAAGAACCATTAGGGCTGGCCAAATAGCTCAGCAGATTAAAATGCCTGCAAGCAGGCTCAGGGGCCAGGTTTGATCCCTGGGCCTGCTGTGTCAGCCCCACTTCTGGGGCATGCTCAGCCAGCAGTTGAGACTGGGTGTGTTGGCACATGCCTGCAATCCCAGCTCTTGGGAGGCTGTAAATCAGCAGATCACTATGAGTCTGATCTAGTAGTGAAACCCTGAACACCTTGTAGAGCCTTCCCTAAAATACAAATAAGACCAAAAAAAAAAAAAAAGCCCCAAACAACAACAAAAACCCCCAAAAGAACCATTGAAAAATTTGAGAAGGAGGCTGCTAAGATGGGGGAAAGTTTCCTTCAAGTGTGCTTGGGTCTCGGACACTGTTCATAGGAGTGTAAATTGCTATGACCAATATGGAAATCAGCATGCAGCCAAAAACTAAAACTAGAGTGTCTTAGTTACTTTTCTTTCATTGCTGAGACAAAATAACCAACACTCAAAATTAAGGAAGGAAAGATTCATTTAGCTCACAGTGGAAGTTTCAGTCCATACTGAGCTGGCTCCATGGCAGAGTGCAGCTGTTCATGGCAGTTCCAAACAAAGGGAGGAGCAAGGGGAGGAGCAGCAGCTGCACCTGCTAGCAAGCCTCTCCACTCCTTACATTTGTATGCAGTTTATCTGCCCCATGGCAGGTGTAGCACTCATATCCATAATCCAGATGTGGATCAAGAGTTAGTCATATGTATCTAGAAGCCACCCTATCACTGCATGAGGCTTTGTGAGGGATAGCTAGACACACTAGAGATTCCTTTTTACCCAGCTACTCTTCTTTCTTGGTAGCTTTCTCAAAGTATTAAAAGCATCATACCACAATGATATATGTACATCTATGTTTATAGCAGCAGAATTTTTAATAGCTATGTCTTGGAAAAAGCCCAAATGTACACCAACTGATGCATGGTTAAAGAAGATGTAGTCTTTATATACGACAGAGTACTACTTAGCTGCAAACAGGATAAATGTGAGACATTTCTAGATAACTGGATGTACCCTGAGACTTTTTATGGTTTGGGTCTAGATCTTTCCCCACTCTGCTAAAGCCTAAGGCATAATTGAGGGTGGGTTTTTCAGATGTGTATCAACAGTGCATGGTGCTGGGATCAAGAGTGTGTGATTAGTAAATTAGTCCACTAATTGGCATAATTTGGCATAGTTCTGGCTAGGATTAAGGATGAGGGTGCTGCACATGCCCTAGAGCAGATAACCTGCACACAATATAAGGGCCAGAAACAGGCTTGTCCTTTTGTTATCCTGTGGGGACCATGAACCTTTCTCTTCTCTGATGGACCGTGGCAAAGCCACTCTGCCTTGGAGCCAGCTGATTATGGACTGAAACCTCTACAAACTGAACCAAATAAACCTCTTCTTATGTATGTATGTATGTATGTATGTATGTATGTAGGTATGTATGTATGTATGTATGTATGTATTTATTATATCACAACATTGTTTACTATGTGAATTTTTTACAATACAGAAATGCAATATATGGATAAAGCTAAATGCAGAATGGTGACTTTTCTCCTTGGGAGGCCATGATGTCCCTTCCTAGTGTATAGGTAGAGACAGATTGGTCATTAGCATCACAATCTGCCTAGAAATGATCTATAAATGCATTTCCCCCTGCTGCTTACCATAAAGTGTAAAAAGGGAGTTAAAGGAAAATTTTCTTGTTGGTTTCTACCATATGAAAGATGCTATATTCTATTTTAGCAGGGCCAATATATGGAAAATATCTAAATTAAATGTTATTACAAAAATGAACTAGTAATGAGATTCTAAAGAGGGCACTAAATGAGAATAATATATACTCAAAAGAATCCAAATCAAACAAACAAAAAGGTTGTTATAAAAAAGCTTTAGGTGCACTGTAAGCATATAGGTTTTTTCCATGTGTACTTTTAAACAATGGTAGTGTTAAAAAATAGGGTCAACTATGTTAGACTAAATTACATTATTGTATAGGTTGCACTGAATGGAACTTCTGTATTATAATTATCATAGAGAAGCATAGTTGGTATCATATTATGGCAGTTTATCCTCAATGAAAACCTTCCAGAGTCCTTTTATTTTGGAATATCCTGTAAACAATCAAACCACCAGAATATGATTGTACAACAGTAAAATTTTCTCTTTCATTAAATTGAAGACATCTGGGGTTGGGGAGATGGCTCAGTGGAATAAGTGCTTCCCTGGCAAGCGTAAGGGCCTGAGTTCAATCCCTGGTTCCACAAAAAAATAAAGTAAAATAAAAAAAAATAAATTGAAGACATCTGTTTAATAATAAAAGAAAAGAAAATGTAGAAAGGTACTGAGAGCTGTTACTTTCTAAGTACACAACACTGTAGACAATTCAAGGCATCTTAATTACATCAAGAATAACAAAATAATTTTTGTCATGCTGTCAGATCCATCATTATAGATTTAAAAACTGGTGAAAATTGGTCAAATGGATCCAACACACACTGATGTCCAAGCTGGCGTATTGGCAACTAATATGTAACTGGAGGTCAACAGAGAGTTTAAAAGATCTTTCCTTTCTTCTTGTTATTTCCAAGGTTCTTTTTTTTTTTCTTTTTCCAAGGTTCTTGAAGAGTTCTACTACTCTAAAATGTGTTGCTGAGCTTCCCAGTTTGCTTTCTCTTCCTCAGACTGATGGCATTTTCCCTCTAATTCTTTGTGTTGTGCTTCTAAATTCTTTTTCATTTGCTCATGGGGTTGCTGGAGCTCAGCTTCAGAGCCCTTCAGTTTTTGAACTTTTTCCTTGACCTTCATCTCAAACACCTGCTCCATCTCCATCTTCATCTTCTTCATCTTGGCTACATGCTCCCTTCTTTCTTCTTCCATCTGTGCCAGAGGGCTCTAAGTAGGTTGCCCTGTGTGCTTGTCATTGTCTACTCCATTGTTAGTGGCAGCTGCCAGTTTTCTGCTTCTGTACTTCTCATAGTGCACGTTATTAGTGACATCTTTCAAGTCCTGCATGTGTGTCCTTATCAACACATTTCTTAGAATTATAAAATCACAATGTTCACCATTTTCAACTTCAGCCACACCCCAAGGGTACTGCCTTCCTCTGACCTTTTTGCAATTAACTTCAGTGATAGTATTGCTGCCCACCATAGCAAGAGGCAAGCAATCTTTTATTTTTTTAACCAGCTTATTTTCTTCTTCATCATCTATTTCTGGAAATTCATATATTTCAATTTTATGTTCTTGGATTTCTTTCATTATCTGTTTTTTTAAACTGTTGGCATTCCTCGGGTGTGAGTGTATCAGCTTTGGCAAACGTGGGATGATATTCTTTCTCATGCAAGTGCTTCATAAACTCAATATCCAATGGTTTAAGTCCATGTCCTGAAGGAACAATGAAGTATAAACAACACTGCACCCTGTTATGAGGCATATGACATCTGTTCACTCATGATTCTGCACTTAGGTAATCCTCAAATTTACTGTCAATGTAGTCGATCACAGGCTGCCAGCAACTACTATTATTGACCTCATCTCCAATTCCTGGGGTATCAACTATTGTGAGCAGCAACTGAACACCACCTTCTTTGACTAAAACTTTGGCTTTTTCCACCTGTACAGTCTTTTATTCTATGGGAAAGACCCAGATACTCTGGAGAATACAAATCTGTGAGGAATAATGAGTTGATTAATGTTGACTTTCCCAGTCCAGATTCACCTACCACCCTAAGTGTGAATTCAAACCTCTTCACTGATTTTCTATATACTTGATTTGGGAGATTGGCAAATCCCATGTAACCTTCAAGGTTCTTTGGTTGAGCCATGGTGCCGTTGTGGATTCTTCTCTCACCTTTTCTCCTATAATTTTGGGTGTTGGATATTTTGTCTCACCAACAAGAAAAATAATTAAGACAAGACCGTACACTTAACTGAAATATATTGTGTACACATGTTTCAATATCACATGTCTCTCTGATGTGAGAAACTAAAAGTGTAAATAAGGCCAAAAATAAATGAAAGATACTGCGAAGTAGGAACAAAATGTTCAGATGGGAATGAGGGAGAGGCTAGGGTGAAGGGAAGAAAAGGAAAAGGACAAAAAAGGAGAATAGAAGGAAAAAATGAAACAGCTTTCGTAAATGAGAAGAGGGATTGAAGGGAGAAGAATGGGGAAAAAATCAAGATACCTTGTATATATGTACATATCCTCTATGATGAATGTGATCATTGTATATATCAAAAGTGCAAAATAAAATTAATTTAAAGATAAAAGATTATGCCATTGTGTAGCTCACTTCATTGTTTATTACACAAAATACCTAGTGTATTTGTGGACTCTTTGTATTGGGAGTAATCTGTTTTAGAGGTTTTAATGCTTACTATTGATTTTTAATGAGAGCAGTGAAAGGATCTGTGTTACATATAAAGTAGGACCATTGTAAAGAAAAATTTTAATTTTGTATAGTAAAAGAGATTACTTAGAGCAGAATGTGAAAGACTCTGCCTTATTTACTTTGAAAATTAGTAATCAGTACTCTTGAAATGTTTTCTATCTTTTGCCAGATACTGACAATGTAAAGCCATTGGCGGGTGTAAAAATCCTGGACTTAACAAGGTTTGTTTTGGGTAATATGCATTTTGATGATTGGGAACTATCTTTGTTTTTTTGTGTTATAAAGGATATTTGTATACATATATAAACATTTTGGAGAAGAAAAAAAAAAGGAAAAAAATTCCTTTGATTTCATTATTAAAAGAGGTAATACTGTAATATTTATACATTTTTGTCAATCTCCTTATTTATATATAATCAAAAAAGGAACTTTCCCCAAACTTTTTTTAATTTTAAAAAAAATCTTCATTTATTTATTTGGTACAGAGTCTCACTATGCAATTCAAATTCATAGTGATCCTCCTGTCTCAGCCTCCCTAGCACTGGTATTGCAGGCATGTGCCACCACACCTGCTTTTGGTGGCTGGCACAGTGCAAAGCTGGCATGGAATGCAGTACCAGGGATCGAACCCGGGTTCTTGTGTTTGCCAGGCAAGTGCTTAGACCACTGAACTATTTCCCCACCCCCAATCTTAAACATACTATTATATTTTGCATATTTTCCTGTGATGTTCAAAATTATAAGATTTTATTACGTAGGTGGATAATTATATAACATCTTCCAAAATTTCATTTCTGTAAACTAAGCTTTCTGGCATATTAATCTTACCTCAGTTTCAGTTTCTTTCTCAGAGTTTTAGAAGTAGAGTGCTTTTGGCTAAATTGCAATTTTAAACAATTTTGAGTTTTACAAATATTACATGAACTTATGTATATCAATGAACTGTTAAAATAATATAGAAATTTTCAATATGGTCATTTATCAATTTAACCTTGTAGGGTATTGGCGGGACCTTTTGCTACTATGAATTTGGGAGATCTTGGAGCAGAAGTTATTAAAGTAGAAAAACCAGGTAAAAACTATGGCTTCCTCTACAAAATAAAATCAGGCTAATCAATATTTTAGTTATTTTTATTTTATTTTATTTTATTTATTTATTTATTTATTTTTTTTTGTGGAACTGGGGGATTGAACTCAGGCCCTTGAGCTTGCCAGGGAAGCGCTTATTCCACTGAGCCATCTCCCCGGCCCCCTTATTTTAGTTATTTTTAAATTATTCATTTTAGTGCATCTATAAGTTGGGTGAAGAGATAATTAAATGATTATTTTTCTTTTTTCTAGTCTTGTTTCCCTATCAACCTATACTAATGCTGTTTTTACATGTGCCAAGGACTAAGGCTCAAAGCTTCTCATACATTTGAAACCTTCTTTAGAACATATAACAATGATGTCAGTGACACTTATTACATTGCCTTGCAAAGTTCTCACCCTTTTGCTAATTTTAGTTTAATGTTTGTGACAATCCTGTAAGCTGATGTTGTGATTCCTACTTTGTAAATGGGAATAGGTAGGCACAAATAGTCAAGCAACTTGTTCAAGCCCACACAGCTAATAAGGAGTATATACATTTGCCCTGTTCTGACCCTGACGCTCCTTAACCTTGCACAAGCTCTACTGTTGAGACTGATTAGTGGTGGGGACCATATGCTGGGACTATGAGGTAAAAGGAAGCAAGGAAAAATAGTATACAAAAGAAGCAGAGAAGGCAAAAGAATAGGGATCCTTCAAAAAGGATGCCTAGAACCACACCTCAGTTATTCTTTTCTGTTTTTAATAAAGGAACATTTTCTCTTTTAGTAATTATTTTTTCATTTGCATTGTTGATGATTGAAACCAGGAGCTCCATAGGGCAGGCAAATAATCACTCCACCCTAATGGGGAGCAAGGTTCTTTCCATTCCTTATTTTGCATGCAGGCTACCCACTCAGAGCACGTGTAGCACTCATACCCCCAACCCCGGCACTAGTCAATGAACCAATCATAAACTGTAAGTTGTCTCTGAAAACTGTGCCCCCATGACTGCGTGAGGCTTTGGGTGGGTACCCAGACACAAATTGTAACTTTCCTGTCTTGGCCTCCCAAAGACTTATGCACATCTCTTTATGAAAAATGCATTTATTCCATCCCTACAAGTTGCCAAAGTACTGAGAATTTCAGCATTACTGAGAAGTCTAAGACTCAAGTCCCCTCCGAGATTTAAGACAAACTCTTAGCTGTGAGCTCTTCTATACATGAAAAGAAAAGTAAATGCTTCCCAGCATTCAATCACACAAGATAGACATTTTCATTCCAAAAGTTGCAAAGAAGAGGATTCAAAGGAAAGGGACTGAAAAAAGTCCAAAAATACAGCAAGAAAAACATTAAATCCTAAAGTTCCATGTCCTAAAGTTCTTGTTCCCAAGACAATCTGTTGTAAGATGTGAACTCCAAAGCATTTGGGTGGCTCTGCCACAGCATTTCTGTGGTTTCATGACTTCTCTCTTGGTCCTACCCTACTCCCTCCTTGCCATATTCCTCAGATGACTCACATTCTTGGATTTTCCTAACTTGTGGGGTCTCCAGTGCACCTTTGGCTTCTTACGGACATGTAATGTCTCACAGACACACTGTCTGGCCTGTTGGGCCTTTCCATGTCTCGTTGGAAGCATTCCTAACCCCACAACTCTTGCAATCTGTTTACACCTAAAAACCAGTGTGGTGTGGATGATGCCAAGGTATGCTGCCAGCTGGAGCAGTAGCCAGGCTTCCCTCTCTTGGCTGTAGGGCTCTAGTGCATGGATTACTGGACAGTCTGCATCCAATTCTGAGGATCAAATTCTGTATGCTGCTGCCATTTGTTTGGCTGCTGCATTATGGAACATGGTGCCCTGGTGCTTTATTCTCAAAGCACAATCTTTCACTTTGGCAATTTTGAGACTTCAAAGGGTAGAGTCTTGCTGCATTTTGTGATGCCCTTAAGGCATCTTTTGTATTCTTCTGTTCCTTTTCCATAGTCTAGGTCTTCTCTGCTCCGCCTTTACAGTCTACAACTTTCCCAGATCTTTCCTTCTAGTCAAACTCTTATTTATTTATTTAGTGGAACTGGGGATTGAACTCACACCCTTGTGCTTGCCAGTGAAGCACTTATTCCACTGAGCCATCTCCCCGACCCCCAAACTCATATTTTAAATCATTCTGTTGTACTCTGTGCTTTTGATTCTCAACATAGAGCAGGCTAACAGCTTCCGACAGTATCCGTGCCATTGCCTCAATATTAAATGGCCTTGAAACTTCTTCTACAAGATTAATCCACTGCCCTTTATCTCAGTCTCAGGCAAAGTCTCTGGATATGAGCAAGATGCAGACAAATTTTCTTTCGGGCCATAACATGTATAATCTGGAGTCCAATAGCCAATGTAATTTTTCTTCCCAGAAGAAACTTCTGAGCCTCTTTACCACCAGGATTTCAATAAACCTTCTGGACTTCTTAGCTCAGACCAGAATCTCCCATACAGAATGCCTTAAGGCATTCTAGCTCTACTTTTTCAGGCAGCCTATCCCAACATTTCCAAATGAAATGTCTCCTGAGCATTGTGGCCAGTTATAGTCACAGCAATGATAATTACTGAGACAAAATACCCAACACCAAAAATTAAGGGCGAAAGCTTTATTTAGCTCACAGTTTATTTATTTATTTATTTATTTATTTATTTATGTGTGTGTGTGTGTGTGTGTGTGTGTGTGGCCAGCTCAGTCCACCAGGGGGGGGGCTGGCTGGCATGTGGTGCTGGGGGATTGAACCGCGGTCCCTGTGCTTTGCCAAGCTTGTTCCAAGTAGGTGCTTTAGACCACTGAGCCATCTCTCCAGCCCCTAGCTCACAGTTTGTGAAGGTCTTATTTGTAATCAGTTGACTCCAAGGCAGGGAGGCATGGCAAAGGGGAAAGCATAGCATCAGAAGACAGCAAAAGCAACAGCTGAGGAGAGGATGAGCAAGGCTCTTTCCGTTTCTTATATTGTATTCAGGTTACCCATCTGAGGGCAAGTGTAGCATTCAATCCCCCCCCCAATCCCAACACTAGACAATGAACCAATTACAAACTGTGGATTCAATTGTCTCAGAAATCCCTGACTCTAATATTTCATGAGGCTTTGGATGGACATCCAGACACAAAGCTTGGCAAATACTTTATTGTGGAAGTTTCAAGAATAATACTAATAGTGATTATTATTATGTATGTTTTAAAATCATATCTTTTTGGGTCTGAAGTAGAATTCTCCAAAGAGTCTAACACTGAATAGTGTATAATTATCTGAAGACTCACAAGAGACTAATTTATAATTACATCAACTTATTAATTTACCTTAAGTTATAAAGCCCATAAAAATTTAAAATTAAGTTGATTAGTACATTTTAGGTATACATAATGATCACATTCATGATAGGGAATTTGTATTGTATATGATGTATCTTGATTGTTTTTTTCCCCTTTCCTTTGCCCACACTCCTTTCTCTCCTTCTTTATAAATACTGGGCTTTCATTTTTCCGTCTTGTTTTTCCTTTCCCCCACTACTCTCCCTAGTTACCTCCTCAGTCAAACAATCCCTTCTCATTTCACATTATCAGTTATAATTTTGGTGTTTATTTCCCCTTTGGGTTTTTCACACCAGAGAAACAATGTGATATTTCCACACATGTGTTCAATTTCTTTCACTTAAGAGTGTGGTGTCAAGGTGCATGTATTTATCTAGAAATATCTCAAGTTTATCAGATCTTCTTTATCCATTCATCAGTTGATGGGCATTTGGGATGTTCGCAAGATTTAGCTATTATAAACTTGCTGCTATAAACATGAGTGTGCACATATTACTGTGGTATGATGCTTTAAATTTCAGAAAGATACCAAGAAGGAGAATATCTGGGCTGAATGGGACCTCTAGTTTTAGTTTTTGAGGAATCTCTAAACTGATTTCTATATTGGTTACACCAATCTACACTCCCACCAACAGGGAGAAGGGTTCATTTTCTCCACAGGTCTGCCCAAGCATTTGTTATCAATTGATATCTTGGTAACAGCCATTATTTTTGGAGTGAGATAGAATCTCAGAGTTGTTTTAATTTGTATCTCTCAAATGCCCAGTGATGTTGAACATTTTTTCTTGTATTTATTTGCCATTCTTTTTTTTTTCCTGAGAATCATCTATTCATTTCATTTTGATTCAGTCTTTAAACTTAGGGGAGTCTGATTTTTTGTATTTCTTAATATATTCTACATATTGGTCCTTTCTCTGAGGAGCAGCTAGCAACAGTTTTTCCTATACTATTGTTTGTCTCTTTACTCTGTTAGTAGGTTCTCTTGCCATGAAAAAGCTTTTTAATAAGATGGATTTCAGTTGTTGATTTTTTATGGTAGTTCCTTTGTGATTGTTTTTTTTTTTTCATAAAGTCCTCACTTACACTAATGTCTTCAAGAGTTGTACCTATTCTATCTTCCAGTAGATTTAGTGACTCTCTTTTAATATTTAGATCTTTGATTCATTTTTATTTTCTTTTCGTGCATGGTGAGAGATATGGGTGTAGTTTTAATCTGCATGTGGAAAGCTAGTTTTCTCAGCTCCATGTTTTAATTGCCTCTTTAAAGGGCTATCTTTCCTCCACTGAAACCATTTGGTTCCTTTGTCAAAGATAAGGTAACTGAGTTTATTTCAAATTGTTTCTGCATCTTCTATTCTGCCCCACTGATCCTCAAGTATTTTTTTTTCCAGAATCATGCTGTTCTTACCGTGGTAGCTTTGTAGTATTGTTTCAAGTTAGGGATTATGATGCTGCCTGTTTTGCTTTTGTTGCTCAGGATTGCTTTTGCCATGCTAGGTATCTCATGACTCTATATAAATTTTAGGATTGTTTTCTGTGCAGCATGCTATTTATATTCTGATCAGGGTTATATTAAATCTGGTATAACAGTTTTGGAAGTATGGGTATTTTCACTATATTTTATTCCACCTACCAAAGAACAAGGGATATCTTTCAACT